TTTACCTTTTGTATAAATAGACTAATCATATATGTCATTTATAACAACAACCTTATATTCTTTCATACTACTCTATGCAGTCGTCATCTCTATTCTCTCATTTATTTCCGCTATCATTGATTATTGTGCACCAACAAATTGGTATCTAGAGCTCCAGTTCGGATCCATGGGGAAACACAGAAATACGAGTGAAACATGAGTTTGTGTGGTTAATTTTGTTTCTGGGTTCGTGTTGAATCTTTGAACAAAATTGTTATAGAATCACATTTTTTTCTTCTGATTACGTGGGATAGGGAAACAATGTGTTTGTGAGATCTGAGTGTTTGCACAAGGTTAAAGATGAGCGGAAACAGTCTGAACACTAAACTTCCTGTTTTTGATGGCAAAAACTGGAATAGATGGATGATTCAGATGCGTGTGTTGTTTGGCGCTCAAGGTGTTCTTGATCTCGTCAACGATGGTTTTGTTTTTGTTACAACATATGCAACAGAAGAAGAGAGAAACATGCAGAAAGATACATAGAAAAAGGATCAGAAGGCGTTGTTCTACATCCATCAGTGTGTGGATGTGAATGTGTTTGAGAAAATTGCTGATTCGACGACGGCGAAGGAGACATGGGACACACTGGTCAGATGCTATGGTGGTGATACATTCGTGAAGAAGGTAAAGCTTCAGTCCCTGCGAAAGCAATATGAGAATCTCAACATGAAAAACAATGAGAAGGTTTCTGAATACATCTCCAGAGTGATTCTAATCACTAATGAGATGAAATCTTGTGGAGAAATCCTTTTTAAACAAGTAATCATTGAGAAGGTATCGAGATCGCTTACTCCTTAATTTGATTACATTGTTGTAGCAATTGAATATTCTAAAGATCTGGACACCATGAGAATAAAAGAGCTACAAAATAGTCTAGAGGCGTAAGAGTTGCGTCTGACAGAAAGGACTTCTGAGAAGAAAGTTAAGCAGGCTCTGAAAGCTTCTTTTGTTAAGAAGTATCAGAAGTATTCTTGGTCAGAGGCCAAGAATAGACGTGGTGATAGATTCCATAAGTCAGAAACGTCAACTTCTGATGAGAAGAAACATCAGAAGGAAAATGAGAAGTTTGACAAGAAAAAGGTTCAATGTTATTGTTATAAGCAGTTTGGCCATTTTGCTAAAGATCGTTGGTCAAACAAGGGAAAGAAATCAGAAGAAGCAAATAATAGCCAGAGGGGATTCAGATGATGAACCTGTGCTATTAATGGCTTCTGAGTCCAATGAAAAGTGTTTGGCAGATTGGTTGTATATGGACATTGGTTGTTCAAATCACTTGACTGGAAACAAACAATGGCTGATAGATTTTGACTCCAGAAGGAGGACAAAGATCAGATGCGCTGATGATAAGTACCTTAATGCAGTAGGTATGAGAAATGTCAAAGTTAAAGTGAAGAATGGGAGAATTTTTCTGATCAAGGATGTTTTGTATGTTCTCAGAATTAGGAGCAACCTGATGAGTGTGAGTCAGCTCATTGAGAAAAGTTTCTCAATGGTTATGAAGAACAATCTCTTGAAATTATATGATTCCAATCAGAAGCTGGTTATGCAATATGAACAGGGAAGCAACAGAGCATTCAAGGTGAATGTAGAAACAACTGAAACAGAGTGTCTTAGTGCAGAAGGCTCCGAAGGTGATAGTAAGTTATGGCACAAGAGGTTAGGGCATATGAACTGTAGAATTTTAGGGCATTTGAATTCTAAGAAGTTCATGCGTGGTATTTCGAAGATTGTGAAGCCTGAGAAGTCATGTGAGATATGCATGAAAGGCAAGCAACCCAAATTTCCATTTGTGTCAGAAGCAGTCCCAAGAGCAAAACATGCTTTGGGAGTAGTACATTCTGATGTGTGTGGACCATTTCCAGAACCTTCACTTGGAGAAAATAGGTATTTTGTGTCTTTTGTGGATGAGTTCACAAGAATTGCGTGGATAACACTCATCAAGTTTAAGAATGAGGTGTTTACAGAATTCCAAAAGTTCAAGGTGAGTATAACTCTACAGAATTCCAGAAGTTCTGTGATGAGAATGGAATTGAGCATGAGGTTGTTGCTCCTTATACTCCTCAACACAATGGTCTTGCTGAAAGAAGAAACCGTACTTTGCTTGATATGACGAGAAGCATGCTAAAGGAGAAGAAACTTCCTCATAATCTATGGGGAGAAATTGTTGCCACTGCAGCATATGTGCTCAATAAGTGTCCAACTAAGAAACTGAAGGAAATTGTTCCTTTAGAGAAGTGAAGTGGAGATAAGCAAAGTGTTAGTCATCTGAAGGTTTTTGGTTCTGTATGTTACAAACATGTTCCAGAAGCTAGAAGACAGAAGTTGGATGATAAAAGCAAAGTAATGTTACTGGTGGGGTACCACAATACAGGTGTGTACAAGCTTTATTGTCCAAAAACTAATAAAGTTGAAATCAGCAGAGACGTCATTGTAAAAGAGTCAGAAATTTGGGATTGGAGTAAGTCTCAATCCGTAACACTAAAGATAACTTTTGAAGGTGAGTCAGAAGTTAAAAGTTCTGAAGAAGAGTCAGAGTCAGAAGATGATTCTAGAGACTCTGAAGATGAGTCAGATGATGAATCTGATTTTGATCCAGATTTTGATGATTATCCAGAATCTAGTGGTGGTCATGTTTCTGGAAGGGAAAACTCTGAAGACGTAGGTTCTAGAGGACAAGCTTCTGGACATGATCATATGTCTGAAGGTGGGATTTCTGAAGATAGTGTTTCCGGACAAGGTCCAGAAGCTAATGTTGTTCCAAATTCTGGAGAATGTTCAGAACAAGTTCAGAGGCCACAGAGAATCAGACAAATACCAAGAAGGTTTGCAGAGTTTGACATGTTGCAAGACACTGAAGTAGATTCAGAAGGAAAAATTGTTCATTGTGCCATGTTAGTAGATTATGAACATGTGAGTATTGAAGAAGCTCTCAAGAATAAAGTATGGTTGAATGCCATGAAAGAAAAACTTGAGGCTATAAAAAGAAACAAGACTTGGAAGCTGACTAAGCTTCCAGATAAGAAGAAAGCCATCAACGTCAGATGGGTTTTCAAGATAAAGCTTAAGCCAGATGGATCAATTGGCAAGCACAAAGCAAGGTTAATGGTTAGAGGTTTTCTTGAGAAACCTGGGCTAGATTACTTTGAGGTGTTTACGCTTGTAGCTAGACATGAAACAATCAGACTAGCGATTGCTTTAGCTGCAAATAGAAATTAGTCTTTGATGCATTTGAATGTGAAGTCTGCATTTCTGAACAGTCTATTAGAAGAGGAAGTATATGTGTCACAACCTCATAGTTTCGTGAAAAAGAATCAGGAAGGGATGGTGTACAAGTTACATAAAACTTTGTATGTATTGAAGCAAGCGCCCATAGCTTGAAATTTGAAGATTAATTCATTTTTCAAGAAACAAAGTTTTCAGAAGTGTGAGATGTAATATGGAGTTTATGTGCAGTATTCTGGAGACAATATGATTCTGGTGTGTCTTTATGTTGATGACATATTGCTAACGGGTAGCTGTCCAGAAGATATAATCAAGTTCAAGGAGGTGCTGATGAATGAGTTTGAGATGATTGATCTGGGAAATACGGTATATTTTTTAGGGATGGAGATTATGTATGTTAAAAAGGGTATCATATTGCATCAGCTGAAGTATGAACTTGAACTTCTAGAGAAATTTAAGCTGCAAAATTGCAAGGTTGTTGTGACACCATTAAAAACCAATCATAAATTAGATTCTGACTCTGATGGTGAAGATGTGGATGTTACAACCTTCAAACAGTTGGTTGGTTCTCTAAGGTATTTGTGTAATACCATACCTGATATTTGTTATGCAGTTAGATTGGTTAGTAGGTTCATAAGTAAACCTAAGTGGTCCCATTACCAAGCTGCTGTCAGGATTCTGAGGTATATCAAGGGAACTTTGAAGTTTGGTGTATTATTCCCTTCTAGAAGAAAGACAGATTCAGAGTTAATAAGTTACTCTGATTCTGATTGGTGTGAAGATAGAGTTGATAGAAGAAGTATTTCTGAATACTTGTTCAAGTTTCTGAGAGGTCCTATTTCTTGGTGTTCCAAGAAGCAACCCGTTGTTGCTCTATCAACATGTGAAGCTGAGTACATTGCAGGTGATGTAGCTGCTTGTCAAGTTGTGTGGCTTCTGAATTTATTGCAAAATCTGAAGATTAAAGTAGAGAAGCCTCTGAAACTGATGATTGAAAACAAGTCTGCAGTCAATCTTGTCAAAAATCCGGTACTACATGGAAGAAGCAAGCATATTGAGACAAAGTATTATTTCTTGAGAAACCAAGTCCAAAATGGAATACTAGAAGTTGTGCACTGTAACACCCAGAAGCAGCTGACAAATATTTTGACAATGAGAATCAAGACAGATCAATTTCTTCGTTTAAGGAATGAAATTGGCGTAGTTAGTTTTGATTAGAAATTCTAAATTAAGGGATGGTATTGAAGGGTAATTTAGTATTTTCTAATTTGTACCTTTTAACTTAGTCATTAAGTTTATTCTATTAGAGCCCGTGGCAATTTACCTTTTGTATAAATAGACTAGTCATAAATGTCATTTATAACAACAATCTTATATTCTTTCATACTACTCTATGGAGCCGTCATCTTTATTCTCTCATTTATTTCTTCTGCTATCATTGATTCTTGTGCACCAACAACTTCTAGAAACCTCTTTTAATCTATGATGCATGGACATCTCGAATTTGACTCCGACACTGACACGACAACATCAATAATAATTTGAAAAAATGAATAAATTAAATGTAATCACAAGTGTTGGTACAAGTGATCGACACTGACACGTCTTTTTTCAGAGGTGTCGATACTACATAGTAACTTTTAACACTATCATATGCTTTCATTGTCCGACTTCAAATAGCCAATGATAAAAAGCTCCAAGTCATTTGAACCAAATGACAACAAGAGTGAGTGAGACAGTCAGGTACCCTTTAAATTGGGAAAATTAAAGATGGATTTTGTACCTGTCTGTATCGAGACAAACTCATGGCCCAACAACACATGCAGCCCAATAATGCACGACTTAATAACGAATTGACGAAGTCGAGATATCGTTTTAATGGACATGTCATTGTGATGCCAGGCTAGTGACATGGAAGATGTCCTGCCCTCCGCTAGAATCCCAAGAAAGGTTCTAGTACACCGAGAACAAGCGTGGCCTGCCTTAGGAAAATATCTGATCCAGGAAAATGATGAAAGAAAGATCATTACATGACAAAATAAATTATATTCTGACACTTGTCTATTTGGACAATGATTCTACATTGGAAAGTTCTAGACCCTTAGAAACCTTAGAAACACTTTAAAAACCTCCTATAAAATGCAGTATAACGTCAAATCAATGTACACACTTTTTACATAGAAAACCTCTTGCACATGATAAAAACTTACTTGGGCGTCAGACTGTTGGCAGGTATCACCCTCCACCAACGGATGGACCACGAGCAACATCATTTCCCGTAATTGTCTGCATCTGATTAACTTCACAACTACGTGAAAGATTCCTTACAAGAAGGATCAAGTTTCTATACAAAATTATCATTAAAAAAAAGTCACTAAATTTTCCTCCCTGTTGGAAAGGGTACATCAAATTTGCCCAAAGATGAAAATTAGAATAAAAATAATTACCAAGGGTGCTGGAAAGATGTGAGCTCCAACTCGAGCAAGCTTCTTTCTCACTAGTTCTGATTCCAATTTCCTTAGCATATGGATTGGCATGGTCGGCATTTAGATGAGCTATCTGAACAGATAAAACACAGATAACAGATTGCATTGGGAAAAAAGAAAAACAATGACTTATCTCTATATTAATGGTGTACACTTAATAAATTGCAGGCAGCACAATACTGCGTTCACATAAAAAAAAATCATCAAACAGATATAGTTAAAAAGAAATCAGAGTTCTGGTTCCTAACAAGTTAAATGACCGTCACATTAAAGTCAGGGTTAAGCATAATACACTAAATAGAATTTAGTGACTCTTGGGACGAATTCCCGGTAAGGATTGGAAAGTTCAGCACAGGATAGGTGATGTTGAAAATGGTACAAGTAGTCTTGGAGGTAGGGTGGGGGTCTATTTATGCATGTAGATGGAGGCAGTGAAAAGGAAGAATACATCTTTGTAGAGAGAAAAATAACGTGCACCAAGGTCATAAAGCCAGTAACCTTTGGAAACAGGAGGGAAAACCACAAAAAACACTATTGGATTTGTTCAGGAAGAGAACTTTAATATGTGAGGAGAGATGGTGGAGGCATACAATAAACAACAACAACCAAGTTTTATTTCACTAGGTGGGTTCAACATTCTCATCTATGCTACATTGGGCTTATACTCGTGTTGGATTTTAATTGTCTAATACTTTGTCCCATCAGAGAAGAAAAACATATAAGAACTAAGTCAAAAGTAGGAAGAACATAATGATTGTTTGTGAGAAAGTAATATAACAAAATGAAGAGCATACCATTGTTAATCAGGAAATAGTCAAACGTATTTATTGTGAATAATTTACATTCATAGAATAGGAAATTAGTTATTATGAGTTATAATTAGTCATTATGAATTGTAATTACCTGTAATTACCGACACTATTATATATAGTATCAAATGCAATGAGAAAGACATCAAGCCAGAATTTGTGACAAGGTATCAGAAGGTTCGATCTAACCTGTGAATCCTTGTTCTCTTGGCTGAATAGTGACACCCCACCGGGTCACTCTTGAAATCGTGTTTCTTGTTTGTATTTCTCGAAATCGCGTTTCTCAATTGAAATCTTTCAATTGCCGTTTCGTGATTTCTTCATTGTTGTTACTTCGTGATCTTGATTCCGTGTTTATCGCAAGTTGTTTCGGTGATCGTTAATCAATTGGTGCTGCTAGTATACTGTGATTTGTGATTCTGTTTCTCGGCAATTCTACTTCTCGACGATTCTGCTTGGTGATCGTTATTCTTGGTGATTCTGTTCGGTGATCGTGGTTTCATTGTTGGATTGTTGGCGATTCTCGATCGTGGTTTGTTGTCTTGTAGGTGTTTCTCAATCGTGATTTCATTGTTGATATTTCTCGATCGTGCGTGTTTCTTCACCGTTCGTTGGCTACTAAGTGAGGTTTCCTGGGGTTATAATATCATGGCTAAGGAAAATGAAAAGAATTTGTGTCCGTTTTACCGGCAAGAATTATTCCGCATGGGAATTTCAGTTCAAGATGTATGTTAAAGGAAAGGGATTATGGAATCATCTAGATGATGTTTCTAAGGCACGACGGAGAAAACTGCTTTAGATGCGTGGGAAACTAAAGATGTTCAAATCATCACTTGGATTCTCAACAGTATTGATCCTCAGATGATCAATAATTTACGCTCTTTTTCAATTGCTCAAGAAATGTGGAATTATTTGAAGCGCACTTACAACCAGGACAATTCAGCAAAACGTTTTCAGTTGGAGTTAGAAATAGCCAACTACAAACAAGGTGATTTGTCTATTCAAGAATACTATTCTGGTTTTTTAAATCTCTGGGCAGAACACTCTGCTATTATACATGTTAATGTTCCCAAGACCTCTTCGCGGTTACTCAAGAGGTTTACAACACAAGTGGACGAGATCAATTTCTCATGAAATTACGTCCAGAATTTGAAGTTGTCAGAGGTGCCTTGCTGAATAGGAATCCTGTTCCTTCTTTAGATACATGTGTTGGAGAACTTCTAAGGGAGGAACAACGTCTTATTACTCAAGGAGCCATGTCTCATGATGCTACTATTTGGTGCTTTTCTTGCAAACAATTTGGTCATATTGCTCGTAGCTGCAATAAGAAGTTTTGTAATTACTGCAAGCAACAGGGTTATATTATCTGAGTGTCCCACACGTCCTCCACGACCAACACAACGTTCAGCACAAGCATTCCATGCAACTACAAATCATGTGGTCGGTCCTTCCACTAATGGCGCATCAAACAATAGTGCTATACAACCTGAATTGATTCAACAAATGGTACTTCCCGTTCTTTCGGCCTTGGGAATTCAGGGTAAGTCTTCTAATGTTTCTCGCCCATGGTTTCTTGATTCGGGTGCATCCAATCACATGACAGGTTCTTCAGAGTATTTGCACAATTTACACTCTTATCATGGTAATTAGAAAATTCAAATAGCTGATGGTAATACTTTATCTATTACTGAGATTGGCGACATATTTTCGAGATGTGCTTGTATCGCCTGGACTTACGTCTAATTTATTATCTGTTGGTCAATTGGTAGATAAAAATTATGATGTTAACTTTTCTCGTGATGGTTGTCTTGTGCAGGAGCAGGTATCGGGGAAGGTGATCGCGAAGGGGCCTAAAGTGGGAAGACTGTTTCCACTCCAGTTTATTTCTAATCATATATCTCTTGCTTGTAATAATGTTTTAAACTCTTATGAGGATTGGCATAGAAAATTAGGTTATCCAAACTCTGTTGTTTTGTCCCATTTATTTAAAAATAGTTTGTTGGGAAATAAAAATGTTTATAATGCCTCTATTTCATGTTCTGTTTGCAAATTGGCTAAGAGTAAAACACTTCCTTTTCCGTCTGGTGCTTATCGTGCTTCCACTTGTTTTGAAATGATTCATAGTGATGTATGGGGTATGTCTCCTGTAGTTTCTCATTCTTACTATAAATATTTTGTCACATTTATTGATGATTATAGTCGTTTTGTTTGGATATATTTCCTTCGGTCTAAATCTGAAGTGTTTTCTATGTTTAAGAAATTTCTGACATGTTGAAACTCAATTTCAAGCAAGTCTGAAATTTTTTCGCTCTGACTCTGGTGGTGAGTACATGTCTCACACGTTTCAGGAATACCTTCAACAAAAAGGCATCTTGTCGCAACGGTCTTGTCCCAATACCCCTCAACAAAATGGTATGGCAGAACGTAAGAATCGTCATTTGCTTGATGTAACACACACATTGCTTCTCCAAGCTTCTGTACCATCCCGATTTTGGGTAGAGGCTCTTTCCACAGTTGTCTTCTTGATCAATCGTCTTCCTTCTACAGTTATTAAACTTCATTCTCCTTTCTTTCGTCTTTTTAAAATTCATTCTGATTATAGTGCTTTACATACTTTTGGGTGCGTGTGTTTTGTTCACTTACCTCCTTTTGAAAGGCATAAGCTTGGAGCACAATCCGTTCAATGTGCATTTATGGGATATAGTCACTCTCATAAGGATTTGTGTGTTATGATGCCACTAACCATCGTTTTCGTATTTCTAGAAATGTGACATTTTTTTATAATCAGTTTATGTTTCCCTGTGTTTCTCCTACCATTAATGATATTGTTACTCTTCCTAAGTTTTTTATTATGCCTCAATCTATAGAACGTTATAAACCAGGTCATGTATATGTCAGAAAACACAGGCAGCAGGTTACCACACCCCTTCCCGACACTGAACCGTCACCTGATCCTGTACCGGCTAATCCACAACGTTCTGGTTGAATATCTCGTGCACCAGATAGATATTCACCAGACAGGTATGATTCCTCACATACTTCTCTGACTGCTACACTCTCTAGCATATCTATTCCTACTTGTTACTCACAGGCTGTTAAGGAGGTGCGATGGATAAAAGCAATGAATGAAGAGCTTCAAGCTCTTCAAGAGAATTTCACGTGGGATATTGTCTCTTGCCTTCCTGATGTAAAACCTATAGGTTGTAAATGAGTGTATTCTGTGAAATTGAATTCTGATGGGTCTCTCAACCGTTACAAGGCTTGTTTGGTTGCATTAGGAAACAAGCAGGAATATGGAATTGATTATGATGAGACATTTGCACCAGTTGTCAAAATGAAAATTGTCCGCACGATCATCTCTATAGCTGCTTCTAACGGGTGGACTCTACATCAAATGGATGTGAAGAATGCTTTTCTTCATGGTGACCTGACAGAAGATATTTATATGACTCCACCTCAAGGCTTATTCTCTTCATCTAAAGGCGTGTGTAAGCTCAAACGCTCCTTATATGGTTTGAAACAGGCACCTAGAGCATGGTACGATTCCGCTCCACTCTACTTGGATTCTCCTTTACTCAGTCAATATGATTCATCTTTATTTATTTGTAGCACATCTGCGGGTATTGTTCTGCTTCTTTTGTATGTTGATGATATGGTTATTACTGGTTCGGATCCTGCTTCCATTCAGCGACTTAAGCAACAATTACAAGCCTCATTTCACATGAAAGATCTAGGTAATCTACATTATTTTCTTGGTCTTGAAGTTCATTCTACATCCAAGGGAATCTTTCTCAATCAACACAAGTATGCTACCGATTTGATTTCTATGGCCGGTCTCAAATCGGCTAATCCGGTAGATACTCCTCTTGAGGTTAATGTTAAATATCATCGTGATGATGGTGATCTTTTGCCTGATCTCTTATTGTATCGACAACTTGTGGGTAACCTCAACTACTTGACTATTACTCGCCCTGACATATCTTTTGTTGTTTAACAAGTCAATTCATGCATTCTCCTCGCCATCTTCACTTGGCTGCTGTTCGTCGTATAATTCGCTACTTAAAGGGAACCTCTCACAGCGGATTATTCTTTTTCGTTGGAATTTCTCTTCAGTTGAGTGCTTATAGTGATGCTGATTGGGTAGGGTGGCCTGATACTCGTCGATCTGTTACCGGTTGGTGCATGTTTCTTAGTTCTTCATTGATCTCTTGGAAAAGTAAGAAGCAAGCAAGAGTTTCTAAATCTTCTACT